GTTGCCAAGTGGATGGCTGTGTGCTAGAGGCAAGGAGCTGGGGTTTTACCAAGGAAAATCAAGGCCTGGAAAGGCAAATAAATCCTCCTCCCTCCTATCTTAGCTCATGTAATAAAGGTGTTTATTCTTCTCTAAAAGTTGCATATAGTCCTAAAATACTACTCAGCAATATGAAAGAATGAACTACTGATACACCCAACATGTGTAGATCAAAACCATCCTATATAATAAAACCCTAATATGCAAATTGACCAAACGGCGAAAGGACTGGTCACTATGACATACACTGACCATCAGGGGGCAGACAGTCAACGCATTGAGCATCTGCCACCCAAGATGGAGGCAACCAGAAGCAGCAATCGGGGGGGCAAGGCCAGCCAGCAGGCGGCACCAGGCCGCCAGCCAAGGCAGGTGCCAGTAGGCCCCCCCCATCACCCTGCCCGCTGGTCACCCCGCAGAGGGAGGCGATGTGGCAGCGGGGGATGGGGCTGGCCAGCGGGCGGCGCCAGGCTGCGAGCCAAGGCAGGTGCCAGCGGGGGCCCCCCCATCACTCTGCCTGCCGGTTGCCCCACAGATGGCCAATTGCCGGCCAGGTCTAGGAACCCTACCCTATATATTGGGAAGAGTCTCTTAGAGATAAAAATTAAAACCTGGCAAGGCTACTCTAACACTGAAAACACCGGATGATGCAGCAATGCCATGCATGGACTCTGGCTTGCACTTTTTGTGATCAGCCCTGATTCTGACCCTATAACTGTGTGACAAAGCCAATTACTTAACTTCTCTCTGCTTCAGTTTTTCCACCCATAAGATGGGGAAAATGGTACTACTGCCTCAGAAGGATCATGCTATGAACTACTTTTTATAATCAGGGCAAAAAATGTAGCTGCCCATACAACAGCAAGATGCCTTTTACCTGTATGAAAAGTATGGTCACTGGTACACGCAGTGTCCAGGATTGTGAGAGGGATGTCCGACTGCCGGATTAGGCCCGACATCTACTGAGGGGTCCTGTATTGCAAGAGGACGCAAGCCGGGCTGAGAGTCTGCACTCCCCCCCGCCCCACCCCGTGCACAAATTTCATGCACTGGGCCTCTAGTGTTGTATATAAAAGAAGACACATACACTCAAGAGTAGTACACAGTAGCAATAAATGTTTAAAAAACAGGTTGGAAGAGATGATTTTTTTAAAGGACCAAATTATTCATAATTATGAAAAGATTTCCTTCTCCTGAGTAATGTTAAAATGTGAGGTTCTTTTGAGAAACTCCTTATGAAAATCCTGTGAATTTTTATTCTTCACAGTAGTTTTTTTTCCTTCCCCATTAAAATGGTTAAGCTTTACTAGTAATATCTACAGGAGTGGCAGAATCAGGTCTATAATGTCTGACTACATCATTTTCAGGTGAGTGAAAATACTGAAAGTATATTAATATAGCAACAGGTGTGAGAGAAAGAAATAAAAAACTATCATTGGTTTCCCAGTGTGGTAGATTAGCATTTGGCTGCTACTCCATATAATCTTGCCAACATCACTCTCAAAGCAATTTCTCTTATAAAATATGGCACAATCACCACCCTATTTTGAACATGGATATTTAATCTCAGAAAAAGTATTCAAAGCATTTGAAATATCTGACGAGACAAGTTGATTTTTTAATGGAGCCAGTTGACATTAAACTATGCTGTTTTCCACTAAGATTAATACCTTGGGGTGTACGAAAATTAGAAGAAAGTCCTTGAAGGTGTTTCATAGCCTAAAAAAATAAACATGCCCAGCCAGTGTGGCTCAGTGGTTGAATATTGACCAAGGAACCAAGAAATCCTTTGTTAGATTCCTGGTCAGGGCACATGCCCAGGTTGTGGGCTCAATCCCCAGGAGGGGGCATGCAGGAGAGAGCTGATCCATGTCTCTCTTTCACTTATGTTTCTGTCTACCCCTCTTCCTTCCTCTCTCTTTAAAATCAATAAAAAACATATTTTAAAAAACCTAAACATGACAGAATGCCAATCAACTCTCAAGAAAAAGTTTCACAAACACACAAAGCTATTTTCTTTTCTTTCTTTCTTTTTTTAAAGAATAGTTTATTGCCGAAGCCGGTTTGGCTCATTGGATAGAGCATCGGCCTACGAACTGAAGGGTCCCAGGTTCGATTCCGGTCAAGGGCATGTGCCTGGGTTGCGGGCACATCCCCAGTGGGAGATGTGCAGGAGGCAGCTGATCGATGTTTCTCTCTCATCGATGTTTCTGACTCTCTATCTCTCTCCCTTCCTCTCTGTGAAAAATCAATAAAATATATTTAAAAAAAAAAAAAGAATAGTTTATTGTTTTTTTTTTTTAAAATCCTCCCCCAAGGATATTTTCCCATTGATTTTTAGAGAGAATGGAAGAGAGAGGGAAAGACAAAGAGAAACATCAATGTGAGAGAAACACATTGTTTGGTTGCCTCCTGCACTTGCCCTGACCAGGGCCCTGGCCGGGGAAGAGCCTGCAACTGAGGTACATGCCCTTGACCGCAATCGAACCCGGGACCTTTTAGGCTGCAGGCTGACGCTCTATCCACTGAGTCAAAATGATTAGGACCACACAAAGCTATTTTAAAATTCCCTTTTATATAACCAAACAGTTCCAAAGCCATTGGCTGCCATCTTCAAAATCTGAAAGCAGACTACTGGTGGGGTTGCCAGATTTAGGTAATACAAATACAGGATGTTCAATAAAATTTGAGTCTCAGATAAACAATGAATAGTTTTTAGTATAAGTATACCCCCCAAATATTGCATATTTTTAGTATGAGCATGTCCTATGAAATATTTGAGCCATATTTATACTAAAAAACTATTTATTGTTTACCTGAAAATCAAATTTAACTAGGTATCCTGTACTTAGGGGAGAATTACTTGGTCTACTTCGTAGAACAAGAGGCCCCAATCTGGCTGATGAGAATATGTCTTAAGGGTTACAACATGGAATGAAAGGTTAGCAATGGCCATGGTAAGAGAAAAATTGAACCTTTCTTCTGCTCCATGGGTTTCTACTCTCTCTTTCACACCAAAAAATACTTTGAAAAACATTTAAATGTGTTTCCATTTATTTAGAGTTGTAATGGATTAGTTGTACTAAATAAAGAGGATACTTCAATAGGATCTGTAGGGTTTGTTTGTGTAGGGGCTAAGAGCCCAGGACTAACCTAGAGAACTTGTTTCTCTTGCTAGGTTTGCTAATCTTAGTGAGGTATGAACAGACCTGATTTTGTAAAGCAGTTGGAGGACTTCAAATTTGCTTCATGAAAACGTATTTTTTTTTTTCTAATGAAGTTCTTCCCCCACCTCTTTCACTAAGGGATTATCCCCATGGTTCTGTTTGATAGGACTCGTCATACTACTGGTATGTCAGATCGCCAAGGTGGAAGCCTGCTTCTAATGGAGGCTGGAGTATTCGTGCTCCAGAGGTGGGTTCAGAACAGCAATACTGCTCTGAGTCTGTGTTCAGCACTCATGGAGAGAGCATTCTTTTCAGCATCAGCTGATGTTCTGCAGCGTGGGATTCTATTACCTTCATTTGAGCTGCCTGGTTATTCTAGCAATCAGATCTTTCTGTCTCCTTCCTGTTACCGGGCCTTGACACCAGCTATCATGTGCCCTCCTTGCTTTGACTCCCAGGTACACAATTCTTCTTTCATTTTCTTTAAACTCAAATGTTGGAATATTGGGATTTCTAGGACAGGTACATGGCTATGACAAAGGTGGGGAATAATGTGAAACCAGGACTGTCTGATAAAATCTAGGGCAAGTAATCCCACTAATATATCAACACCTGTCCTCTGACAGTTACCTACAACTGCAAGGATAGGAGTCAGAAATTCTACTCATCATGGCTTTTGTCACAACTCTGCAGTTAACCTTGGGAAAATTACTGCTTCTATCTCTGCTCTGTGTCAGTTTCTGGTCCTCTTTTACTTGAAGCCCCCTAGAACAATAATAAAAAAGAACAAAGCAAAAGGAACTCATTTTCACTTATTATGCCTACCCTTAAAATTTAAGTTTGAATCCTAGTATTTGTAATATGGCATATTGGACTTCTCTGTCCCTTTACCAGGAAAGGGGGGGGGGGTTATGGAAAACAAAGGCCTTAAAAGAAATTACTGCCCTAGCCAGTTTGGCTCAGTGGATAGAGCGTCAGCCTGCAGACTGAAGGGTCCCGGGTTGGATTCTGGTCAAGGACACATGCCCGGGTTGCAGGGTCAGTCCCCAGTGTGGGCCGTGTAGGAGGCAGCCGATCGATGGTTCTCTCTCATCATTGATATGTCTCTCTCTCTCCCTCTCCATTCCCCTCTGAAATCAATAAAAATATATTAAAAAAAGAAAGTGATTTACTCCATCAGACAGTAAGAATAACACTTTCTGTAAAATAGTGACTTTTTCCTCTCCTCTTTAATTCCTTTGATTCTGTCACCTTCCATTCCACATATTGATATCCTTTTACATTGAGATGAGACAGTAATGAATCACTTTGGCAAAAGTACATAGATGTTTCCTGATATAGAATTTCTAAAACTGTGGCTCCCACATCATAGTTACTGTATGTTTGGGGCAAGAAAAATATAAATCCCTCTTGAATGTTTGAATTGTGCCTGTTTGCCTAAAGAATTTTGTCTTTTTTTTGGCCTGCCCTAATTCCTGATGTCAGGTCCCTAGGGTATCTGTGCTATGTCTCATTCTCAGTGAATGTATATTTTATACAGTGTGATCACACTTTGAACTAAAATAGACCATACTAGAAATCTGAGGGTACAGCTTCCCAGGACCAAAGAATATAAGCAGTTTGAATTGCTTTTTGTCTCTGGCTTCTTCTTGAGTCAGTTCACAATATAGAGATGTTACCATTTAGGTGGTGTTGTTTTTTAAGTCACCAGATCCCAAAGGCTAGCCTCCATACTAGAGACTATTCCCTAGAAAATGCAGAATATCTGAAAATGAAAGGTTCCTCAATGCTTACCTTAAGTTTCTCTTCAGCTTCAGTATGATTAGTTTATTGGGGACAAGATGACTTTTGGCTCAGTCCTGTGCATCAGCAGGCCATAAGCCAATTTTATAGCTTCTCCTACACTTTTTAAATGTTTATTAATCTTGATTCATATGCAAATCAGGGAAGCTGGAAGTGGAAGATTTTCATCCTCTGTTATTTAAGATATGTGGCTAAAACTCCAACGCAAATTGCTCTCATAAAATCACACCCTGTATAAAAAAAAAAAAATCACAACCTGTACGACGTGATTTGACCAAGTTGGCAGGCCTTAATGTCTTAGGTCTCTTTTCTGCACCCCACCCTTAACCTAGGGTTGGCCAGAGGTTGAAAACTATTCTCTTTGCTAGGCTTAATTGAGTGAGAACTAATTCTGATGTAAATTCTTGCTGTCAGGAATTTCAAAAGCAAACAGAAATAGAGCCAAGGGTAGAGAAACTGAGGCCATCTGACTGTTGGCAAGCTTCTAAGATTTCTAATCCTCTTGCCTACCCTACTGGTCTGGTTCAGCCTGAGCCCTCACTTATTTATTTATTTATTTTTTGGATTTGAAGTCAAGGCAACATCAATGCTAAGTCAATTCCAGCATGCTAGCTCCCAAATACTGTAACCTTTAAAAACTTGGGATTCCACAAGAAATGTAGCAGCATTCCAGAGACCCACGCATCAGACACAGACATATGCATTCTTGCCTGCAGCAAGGGGGTGTTGGCTTTGCTCCCTAACTCACTTTCTACAAGATTCTAGTGACTAACCCTTCTTAAGAGGGCATAGCCAAACAGGTTCATCTCAATTTAAAGATCACCAGCAAAGGGCCTGGCTTTAGTCATGTAGTTGCCAGTCACTTGGGATTGGTAAATAATCTCGGGGTAGTGGTTGTGAAAAAGGAAGCAGAAGTACTGAAATAAAAAGGGAGGGGCGAAGGGGCTAGAAAGGAAGTAAGACAGGTGGAAATGCATGACTTTTTCAACTTCCTGATGGAAAGATACCAAAAGAAATAAAATTCTTCCAACTCTGAGAACCTTTCTTTGGCCATATTTGGATGTATATGCCATATTGCCAACTTCAAATATATATATATATATATATATATATATATATATATACACACACACACACACACACATACATACATATACAGATATATACACACATATCATCTGATATATATAGTTGTTATTCATCTGTATAGGATACATTTTATTTATTTATTTACCTACTTATTAAAGATTTTTAAATTATTTTTTAGAGAGAGGAAGGAAGAGGGAGAGAGAGAGAGAGAGAAACAATGATGTGAGAGTATAACATGATCTGCTGCCTCCTGCATGATCAAGCCCAAAACCTGAGCAGCTAGCTGCCTTGACTTGGAATAAACTGGCAACCCTTCAGTGCACAGGACATGTCCAACCAACTGAACCACACCAGCCAGGGCTAAAGCATATGGAATTAATCTACTTCCCTTTCATGAAGAACACAGGATAGGTAGGCAACATTCCATCTACTCTCCACATTTCCAACGGTCATCCCAACAGCCATTTAAAGTTACAGAGAAGGAAGCAGAAGGTTGGGATCTTATGGCATCAGCTTCCTATGGATTGCTCTCCAACTTTTTGTGTTCCTGGTTTTTGGAACCTCTTTACCATCTTCCGCATGTAAGATTCATATTAGTGGAATTATAGTTTTAATTTCCACGCTTGACATTGACATTGAAGGCCACACTTTCTAAGTCAGGGAGGCTAAGTAGTAACAGCAATGTTTTGTTTTTGATCTAATGTGGTGGGTTTTATAACAGTTTTCCAAACTCTTCCACATCTTTCTTTTCCCCTTTCAATGTTTTACAGCTAGTGTGTCTTTCCCTTCTGCCTGAATATATATAGATATATTTTATTGATTTGAGAGAGAGAGAGGAAGGGACGGAGGGAGGGAGGGAGGGAGAGAGAGAGAGAGAGAGAGAGAAACATCGATTTGTTGTTTGACTTATTTATGCATTCATTGGTTGATTCTTGTAAGTGCACTGACCGGAGACTGAACCCAACACCTTGGTGTATCAGGACGATACTCTAACCAACTGAGCAACTGGCCAGGGCTTGCCCAAATATTTTGGCTTCCTAACCCAACTCCTTTATATTCTCTTTGCTTTGAAACATTTCTTTCAATGATTTACATTTGCTTTTCCAGTATATATCCTCTACACCAACTCACTATCCACAGCTTGCTATGAAGACCACTCTAATATTGAGAACAATATAGTTTGTTATGAGAAGCCCCCAAACCACAGGTAAAATAATACCTTTTTTGTAAAAAAAAAAAAAAAATGCATTATGCACCTTACTTGCTTTACCAATGGGGAAACGGAAGCAGAGAAATTAATAAGATTTGATCTAGGTCATAGACAAGTCACTGATAATATTCAAACTATGAGATCAGACTCTCAGACTAGTGCTTGAAAGCTAAAGACAAAAAGTGCCTAAGATGAGGATTATCTTGATTCATTTTTAACTTTTTATTAAAGTATACAACTTGCATAGGTTTTTCATTTGCAGATCTTCAAGGGCTTCTAAATAGAGATGCCTAGAAATCTGTTATTGGTAGGACTTACAACTTTTTGACACATTACTGATTTTCCCACTCCTCCTGAAATACCATGGAGGGAAATGAATTTCTTTTTTTAAAATCAAAGACTGTTTATTGGACCTAATATTATCATATTATACTATCGGGTATCCACCATAATTTTATTTTATATTTGAAACATCTTTATTGAAATATAACTCACATACCATAAAATTCACCCATGTAATGGTTTGGGGCAAATTCACAGAGCTATGCAACAACCATCACAATCTAAGTACAGAACATGTTCAACTTTCATTCTTTTTTGGGGGAGGGGGTTCAATTATAGTTGACAGTCAATATTATTTTATATTAGTTTCAGGTGTATAGCATAGTGGTTATGCAATCATATACTTCACAAAGTGTTTCCTCTGATATTTCCGCACTCACCTGGCACCATATATAGTTATTACAATATTATTTTTTTTTTTTTTAAATATATTTTATTGATTTT